AACGAGCTGAACGTTTTGATATAAAATTGTTGAAATAGCTCAAAATTTGAAAGAGAAGAAGAGGTTCAAAAAGTGTATGGAAGCAGAATAAGAAGAAGAAGCAGAAGAATAAAGAAAAACAGGAAAACAATAGTTTGAATGCTTACAATTAAACCAAGGCTAACTAACTCTAAACACTCTGTGTGGTGAATGGATCTAGTTGTGAATGAGGCAAGATGGTGGTGTGATGAAATGTTGTTATCAGAACTCTCGTTTTCGGAGAAACGTTAGTTCTGTGTGGGAGCGAATGGTTTGCTCTAAACTACATTCGGAGTTTCAAAAACACATTCAGATGCTATCTTGTCGTCTACATACCCTTGCGGAGACCTCCGTGGTAGATCCAGAATGCTAGGTCCTCGGATCCTCCTTTTGGTACCGAAACCGATGAAACAGCGTTCAGTACGACAGACTAGTCTTTGGAATGCCTCCAGGTAAGCAACAGGTGATTTACAGTGTCAGCAGGGACCCAGCCGGGTCGGTGAGTTCAGCTCAAAGTCTTAAGGATGTTGCGTTCAGATGCAGCTTTGTTATCCAGCTTGTCAAGGTTCTTGTTGTTAAAAAGTGACGAGTGGCCGGCTCAAAACTCTAGAACGTTGAACTGAGTTAGGGTGACATGGGAGTTTGTTTTATAACCCAGATGTTTTGATTTATGGTCGAATCAGGATTTGACAACAAAAGGGAATGGTGTAAACACACACAAAGCCACGCCATGCGTCAGAACGAAAACTCTGATTGGATGAGACAAAAGGAATGTGTCATGTGACTTAATATTACATAGATCAGTATGTCTAGTGTAAATATTTAAAGTTATATTACTTATTTTATTCTGTCATAGTATTATAATATCAAGTAATTAATATTTTAATTTCACAGATTGATTGAACATTGCTTCACATCATTATTTGGACTAACAGACGTTATTTAATTATTTATTTAATAGTTCTTCTGATTCTAAAAGAGTTCTTAATTTAAGAGTTCTTCTTGTCTTCTCTTGAGCTGTAGGGGGAGGCAAATAGCTAGTTAAACAGTCTAGATGCCGAGGCATCACTGCAATATCGAGGAGATGACCTTTAGGTGGAAAAACAGTCTCTTCATGACGCTACACAGGACTCTAGAAGGCGCAATATCAAATACAGGCCATTTACCATTTACCATTTACCGCTCTAGCGCCCAATAGGGCATCTATGTATTCAAGTCTATGGTTCAAACCAGGTGAAAATCTGAGACGGGATCCTGTGTGTACATGTGAGCGACTATTTAAGGATCTCTAAAATTTACTTGAACATTGCTGTAAACTCATGCTCTAAATCTCCAGATCAGCTTCACTAATGCGACCTTCACAAGTCAAAACAATCCTCAGAACTTATGTAATCATTAACGAGGCTGCAGCGTTACTTTAAAAAATGTCCTTCAGCTCTGACTTAGAGGAAACGCCGTCTTTGCTGCCAAATCAATAATTCAGACACTGACTTTCACCAAATATGGCTCCAGACTCTGTTCACATGATTACACCATCATGTGCAGCTTATTCAATAGATCCTTGTAGCTAGAAGACATGAAACACCCTGCTAGTACGTTTGTGTGCTGAAGGGGAAATGGGCTATTTTAGATTTAAGTGTGGATCTATGACCAGAGGGATCACAGGTGAAAGGTCAGGGATGAAGAGGTCATACAGTTGCACCATCTGTCCTGCAGAAACTTAAACTATCCTACACAGTGTGCATCCCTGCAGAGCTGCACACATGGCTTCCTTCAGTGGATATTTGACAATGAATTCATTAATGTAAGTATGTTGTTTGTTTACACTCTCTCATCAGTTATCAGAAAACACCAGATGATCCTGCTTTGGACCAAGTGAGAGAGCTTTTCCCTCCTGGAGAGTTTATAAAAACACAGCAGAAGAATGCACGTGCCCTGTCTCATCACACAGAGGATCCCTGTCGAAGGTTATTTGTAGATGTGGATTCATTTCAGCCAAATGAAAACAGCAGCAGACATACAAGCCTTCTCAACATTAAGAGTCAGCCGGGCCTAAAAAAGATCCCTGTAGTACAAGTGATGATCTGGAATAGCACTCCTCTCTCAGCGCCTTCATCCTGCAACAGGTTTACTGCTTTTTTCTCATTCGACCAGGTCACCGGGGACATTTCCTTCTTCATGATCCTTAAATTTGTTTCCCATTTCCCCTCGTTTTGGTCACAATTTGGTCTCCAACTTCTCTTCAACTTGTCTCATATTCCCTAGAAATCTCCGCTCACATTTGTTCCAAATGTATGTAACATAATGAAACTCTGCAGCCTGCAGTAAAAAACAAAGGGGCTGTTCTGCGTGCTGATGAAAGGAAACGCACAGCAGACTCGGTTAGTTTTGCATAAATAAATCTGAACCGGCATTTCAAGGTTCAGCTTTGTGTTTTTTCCGCCCCGGAGCCGTTCTGTTTTCTCCATCTGCCTGCAGCAGGGTGGAGTTATCCCTCTGCTCTCCAGCTTGGAGAGCTTGTTAAATGGCTGTTTTTGGATGAAGTACCTCTTTCCATTACACGGGTGTTTTCAGCAGCAGGCTGTGTGCATGAAGAGAGCTCATTTCACTGGATGTTGGAACATGTTGCCTTCCCCGTTCAGTAGATTTGTTCCTTTAATAGCATGAATAAGTGTCACTGTTGGGAACAAAAGGGCTTTTGTGCATTCTTCTAATATAAAAAGCTGTATTTTAAGGAGATAGGTGCATGTTGATGTCGCTGTACCAAACCCCTCACCCCCACCGTCACGCACCATCACACAAGCTGCTCTAATAGACCTCCCACACACAAAACTGGGACGTTGGTTGGAACCACAGAGCAGCCTGCAGCTCTCCGAACAGACAGCAGCTTATTCATGAGAGGAAGGGAGGAGGAGACCGAACCAGCTCCTCAGCTCCTGCTGGAAAGCCTCATGTTGCGCCGTGGGGGCTTTTCCCACCTTTCTGAGGACCGCTGCTCACCCAGGTAGGGGGCAGCCTCCTGCTGTGGAGGTAGTTTTACTCTAACAGGGCTGGAACTTGTTGAAACCTCCCAGGGAGGATGTGTGAGTGACATGTGGCATCAGGACAGGCGACAGAAAAGATGCTGAAATTAGAGAGTCCAGAGAGCTCGCCTTTCTCGACTAACGTCTATGTTTATCTGCATGACGGCTGCATTAGTGTGTGCGCTCATGTCAGGGGGGTGCATTCACAGCTTGATACGTAGTTGATACCCAAGTGTTTTCATGAGCTTTATAAATGTGGACTGAAGTCTTGATTTGGAGCCTGTTGTCACACCAGCTAACGAGTCTGCAGAGACGTCGGATCTAGCCAGTTAAACCGTCTCTCTCTCCGGGCTGGTTAGAGATGAAAATAGTTAGAAAACATGGAAGAAATTCCAATGTTAAACTTTTCAATGAATGAATTAACGAAGCACTAGAAAAATTTACACATTATTTTATTTTATTGCAATTTTCAGTCAAAAGTCACTGTCTGCACTTGGAAGCCTCCCTCGTTGCTCCTCCATGTGAATCTGTAGCAACACAGCAGCTGACTCTGAACAAGCTCTCTGGGATTTTCTAACCCAGGAATAGTTTTTATTTGTTGGTCTCACTTTCTCCTGATCCTGACGTTCTGCATTTTGATGTCATTAATGGAGCGTTTTAGTCGTCTGAGTGGTGGTCCGACACTTGTTTGACCAAAAGTTGGAACCTTCATTTCCTGTTCTGTTAACAGAAATAAATGACTCAAGCTCATAGAATAAAACTGCTCTTATATCAGACTACATCTCATTCACCAACTCACGATCCTGCCAGATCATCATCATCATCATCATCATCATCATTATTATTGTGGCAAGGTGGAGAAAAGAGGGCCTGGGCAGGATTCGATCCCCAGACTCCCGGGTGAGAGTCATGCGCACTAACCAGTCAGCCAAAGGGACATCCACTTGGCCAAGTAGCCAGGGTGCATGATCAATCGGGACACTGTGACAGGACGCTCACACTGTCACATTATTATTACTATTACTACTATTGAGCGTGTTTGAAGGCAGATGTTGTGACAGACATACACAGCTTTTATGGGACCCTCCAGACTTGTTTTCACCAGCGCTCCAACACTGCCCCGACTCTCTGGAAGCTTGCCTCGGGTCAGCCAAGGAGACCAGGCTCATACCCGCCCACCCAGCTCCATTACAGAGTCCTGTATTCATTAGACCCCAGATTGAGATGTCTATAAGTTACAGCGACACAGGCCGTGTCTTTGTGCAGCTCCTCTCCTAACAGGAGAGGTGGATTTGGTCGTACGTCCGTGCTTCGTTATGGGTTCGGAGGTTTCTTGGAAACTTTTATGACCAGGTATTATTTAATTCACATGATGCATCACCAGAACTTTGAATGTTGTTTTGAATGAAGGGAAGGTTAGATTTGTTTCTAGGCACATGGTGGCTTTGTGCTAATGTGTTCTCTAAAGCTCGTTTGGTTTTTGCTTCGGGTTCCTTCAACCTTCCTAGTCAGTGATGCAGAGTTTCCTGTGATGACTAAACCTTTAGGACTCCTTACTGCATCAACTTTTTCTTCTGTTTTCCTCCCATTTACATCTGAAAATCCTGTTCTGAGATTCGACAATCTAAAGGTTTTAAGGCAGACCACTAAGATTTCATAATTTTTTTCCACGGAGCGAGGCCCAGCGAGTGAGCGTTCATTTCCTGAAGCTGGTAGAAAAAGTGGAAAGGAGCCAGTGGTTCCTTTAACAGCAGTGGCTTTGGCCGTGCTCACTCTACCTTCACTTCATAGCTGCGCTCACTTCTTCTCCTTCATGCTCAAATGTTCAGGAACATGGAGAAACCTTCCTGCTGCTGCTGAGCCGCTGTGTTTGGTGGAAAATGAAATCCTTTAGAAAGCTTGTTGATGAGGTTCTTTAGCTCAGTGTGGTTCTAAATACTTTGTTGTGCTTGATTTTAGAAGTCAACCATACCCAGGGACCTCTGGACGGCAGCCTGTATGCAAAGGTTCGCAAAAAGGAGTCTGGTGAGGAAACAGGGACGTCTAACGGCCTTCCGACTACTGCTGCCGAGCATGCTCTGCCTGCGGTTGATCACGCCCTGTCAGTGAGCAGCGACTCAGGAAACTCCACCGCCTCCATCAAAACGGACCGGACGGATGAAGCCACAGCAGCCCCTCAGGCCTCCTCAGTGAGCCAGACCCATATCGCTGTGGGTGAGGAGGTGCCATCAGTTCGTCATCAAGCTCTGCCTGCCCAACAACCAATCAGTCCCAAGGAGAAGAAGGAGTTAGAGCAACTGCTGAGTGGACTGGAAGGGCCCATGCACCGACAAGCCTACCTGTCCAGCCCAACATCTGTTGCTGGGATGCTTCACCTGGTCCCGGCCCAGGTCCACGTCAACGGACACAGTGGTGTTGACCGTGAGACGGACATATTGGACGATGAGCTGCCTACTAGTCAAGAAGGCAACAGCGTGGAGAGTTTGGGGACGTTGTCCTCCACGGATGGTCGAGCTACACCGGCGGATCTCTACTACCGGTCTGAGTCACTTACCAACGGTCAGGAACACATTCCTTATCTGGAGCGCAGTGTCCCAGAAAAACCTCTGGAGACCATACAGACCCAGGCTATAAGTCCTGATCACCTCATCACTCTTACCAAAAGTGATTCGGCTCCATTCTCTGGTAACTACATGACCACTCAGAATGGTCTGTATCGGTCTCAGTCTTTTGGTGCTGAGCAGACGTCCATGCCGCCAGCTCCCGCCCGCACCACCAGCAGCAGAGAAGCTGTTCGGCGCGGCCTCAATGTTTGGCAGAAGTTTGGGGTACCAGAGGAGCCGGTGACTGAAGGCATCACCTTTAGTCCACCTCCATCCGTGTCGATGTCCAGCCACCACAGTCTGCCGCAGTTCCCCCATCGTCACAGTGCCTCCCAACAGGAAATTGAACAATCGATTGAAACTCTCAACCTTCTCATGATGGACCTACAACCTGGTCGTTCCCACGTGTCAAAGTCCCAAAGCGCTCCACTGAAAGAAACCAGTGTGGTAGTGACCACCCAGCCGTCCTTCTCCCAGAACCAAACCAGGCCGACCTACCAGACAGAGGCTCACGTGAACAACCACCCGCCAACAGCTCAGGTCTTCTCTGAGAAGCCGGCTTCACCAGAGCCTGTGTCCATTCACGCATACCAGACTTACTCCTCTGGAACACCTGGAACCAATGGCTCCTCCGTAGGCGGTTCGATCACACCCGTCGCTACGTTCCCACCCAGCTCCCCGCTCCGGTCTTCAGAGGTCTCTGAGCCTCGAACAGGTGCTGCCTCAGCATCACCTCAGCAAAGAGAGGGCGACAGCGACGAAGTCTTCAATGTGGAGGGTCTGGTGGCCCAGAGAGTGGCTGGTAAGAACTGTTTCTTCCATGTTACCGGGCTAAAATCATCTCAGTACACATTTATGTCCAAATCATTTCTTAATTTAATCCAATAAAGTCATTTAAATACATTTCCATTCAGTGTTTTCCACAGAAAGGCAAATGTATAATGAAATAACAAAATGGAGTCTAATATTATCGCATGATTCATTTTTAATTAGCTCAGCCTGACGTGATTGGTCCTAAGTGAGATCATCTGCCCACATTTGGTCTGATATTTTTAATGTTGTAGTTGTAAAACAGTCGATGCCATTGTTGGTTTACTGTAACATAAACAACTCTATCCTGGAAAACACCGCAGAGCACTTATCTCACTTCCAGTCTGTCACCTCATCACTCAGGCTCAAACAGGAAGTGTTCAGTCCAGCAGGCCCACGGCCTTTCGATAAGAACGTCAGACATCCTGTAGGAACACGACGCGGTCCCGTCACATGCCAGAATCAACGCCTCATTTCACTTTATCGCTGTTGACGTTCCAACGCTGTAAACCTTTTTTTCCAGGAGTTGTTGTGCGTCTGTAAAGTGATTCACTTTGTATTTAATCTGTTTTGTCAACAGGAATATTCATCCTTGTTCCACCCAGACCTCGTTTTTCTCCTTGTCTTCCTTTTAGTTTTCTCCTAATCGCCCCTTTCCTCCATCGTTATTCTCTTTACCCAGAATTCTCAGCTCGTGTCCGAACCATCATCCCCAGCATGACCTCTTCTCAGTCTGAGCGTCGTCGTTCTCACTCCCTCTCCGGTTGGTCCTCCTGTCTGAGGAAACCCTTCAAGGGAGAAAAGGAGGAATTCCTCCTTTTTCAAGTGTTTCTTGGATCCTTCGACTTTCAGCATGTTGGGCTTAAGCTTGCATTTAATCATCTTTAACTCTTTACTTCTGTTTGTCCTGAGTTGTGGTTTCCTCTCTGAAGGTGAAGAAGGCCTGAAAAGTGAAAGCTGGATAACGCTAATGTTTCACAGGACAAGGCACAAAGGAGGCTCTGGCTCAGGCCAGGAGAAAACAAGTCACAAGATCCGTTTTGCCAAACTTGGGGAACAATACGGAAGCCGAGACACACTGGCCTCATTCAGAGTCACTTTTTATCACTTTTTCACCATTTTCACAAAAGGACAAAAAGAAAAGCTAATGTAAAAGCGAGAGTGCGGTCCTGGTGAATGAGTCCAGACGGGACGGTTCTGGACTGCGATGAAACGTTAGAGCAGAGTTAAACACAAAGCCACACATTAAAGGGTCTCGTTCCAATTCTAACGAAAGCCTTCTGGGACTCACCTGAAGAGTTTCAGGGGAGCATAACGGAGGAGAAAAGAACCCACAGAGTCACCTGTCAGGGTGTCAAAAATAGCTTAAGCAGCTGTGAGCCATTAGCCATCTCCATGGTAACAGCGTGCTGTTGAACAGCGCTCTGCTGTCAGGAGGTGTGGATCAGATACATCTGGATCTCAGGTTTCAGGCTCAAAGCAGCGCTGGGTGTGTTTCTTTTTTAGATTTGGTTTGAGCTGATTCTCGGTTTTTCCTGCAGATTTCTGGTAAAAATAGCCGTTTGTTTTGCAGGACAGTTAGTTTTTCTATCCTCATTTGCATCCCTTCTGTTTGCGTTTTAGATTTTACATCCTCCGACTTAATCTAGAATCTGACTCAAAGTGTTCCCAAGAGTTGTTTTCCCATGAGTTACAGGGTCAGGTTGCATGAATTCACTCTACAAACATCTCCTTCAGTGATGGTTTCCAAAGACTCAAAACAGGAAACTGAGACCCTTTGCGAATGTGTGCAGACGTTTTGGGAACCTCTCTGCGAACGGTGTTATTAACAACAATAAATGAACAATTTAAACTAAATTAAATGGATCATTTTAAAGCTCCCTCTGGATCAGAAGCATTTACTTCAAACAAACCACCTCAGCATAAACCCTTTATTCTTTTTGTCTGGACTGGTTTTGATCTTGCCCGTTCTCCTCCTAACGCACTCCGTTGCCTTTCTGCTGAAACCTTCTTAACTCTGTTTGTTTTGTGCTGCCGGCTCTCTGTTTGACTCAAACCAGATTAATGAAAATCAGCTCACTGCTTTGAGAGTCTGCCAGCGCTTGATTTTACCAAGACCGGATGAATATTGTTTTAACAGCTTCTAGTGGAAACAATGGAGCCGGTTTGGTAATGAAGTCGAGGGTTTTGCTTATTAACATTTTTAATATGCATGTTAAAGTACCCCTGCGATGGACTGGCCCTCTGTCCAGGGTGTACCCCGCCTGATTGCCCATTGGCCGCTGGAGATAAACACCAGCCCCCCGCGACCCTACGTGGACAAAGCGGGTTCAGACGATGGATGGGTGGATGTTAAAGTACGAAAGGTTTTGTTGAGTCTGGCTGTGAAAGGCACACTTGGATGCGTGCACTGAGCTTTCACATCCAGAGACACAAGTTTGCTATTTTCTGGATTTTAACACTTATTTATGCACCACCTCAGGTGTTCAGGCTCGCGTGGCGTCTACAGATGAACCCGGGATTCTTCCCCGTCGCCGCATCACCAGCGAGGGTCACTCTGATGATGGCCTGTCTCCAGATGTGCCAGTTCGGTCCCCAATCCGCTGTGTTTCTCCAGAGTTTGTAAACGCCATAGCGATGAACCCTGGAGGACGGCCCAAAGAGGTAGAAACTCATGCCGGATGCAGCCCAGTAGGTTATTGCACGATCAGCACGAGCTCATGCTTCCTTTTCCATCCTTCTACAGAGAAACATGCATAGTTACCGGGAGGCCTTTGAGGAGATGGAAGGAGGTCCTGTCAGTCCAACACCCACAGCTGGTGGTGAGGTGTTCCCCCAAACCCCCGCCTTCCCCGTCTCACCACAAACCCCTTACTTCAACCTGTGTAAGTCCCCCCTCGGCTGACAGACGGCACTGTGGAGCACTGATTTTACTCATGACTGAAATCCCACTCAAAACTACAACAAATGAAGAATGTTGTCTATTTATGCAGCTTTTAAAAATGCTTTTGCAGGTTTCTGAAGGTTACATTTTGGGGTGGGACTTAATTAATCGTTATTAAGGCATTAAATTCTTACCCCTAGTTAAATTACATGAGTTAAAATATATTACAGCATAATGCTTTTTAAGTGACTTTAATGAAAGTTATCACCAGACCTGTTAAATGAGTTTTAAACAGGCTATTATAAAGAGCAGGTTCTCCATTAGAAATGAATTTAATGAGCCATAAACCATCTCTAAACAGGCATCTCTACAGAGAAAATGACAGCTGCAGGAATGGCAACAGAAGAAGAGTTTACAAGATGATCACTTCCACAAACGCACCTTAGTCTTTCATCAATTTGCACATAAAAGCAACTGAACTTCATAAGATTTAAGTTCAGGATTGTTAGATTCATTGACAAGTCTTATTATTACCGCCGAACACTGGAGCAGATCGGGTTAAATACAGTTTTCTTTAAAAGTATAAAAAATTACATATTTTTTTTAGTTTAGATTAAAACCTCTCTTAATATCCCTAGCTGCCATGTTTTAGCCTTTACTGGGTCCTAAAGAGGGACCACAGTCTCAGATAAGAACAAACTCTAGTAACTGGCAACATTTACCATCTAACTGATGACAACAAAGGTTCATGTCTGTGGAATGGATTAGAGGCAGATTACTCTTAATTTCTCCTCCTTCACAACATAAAAAATCACACATCAGAAGGTGGGACTATTGCACAAACACTTCTTTGGGATTCTTCGGTAAGTAGAGGATGCTCAACCTTCTTCTGGAGTTTCACTGTCCCACGCCGTCAGCCATACTGACCTCTGACCCTTCCTTTTTGGTGCCTGAGTCCTTTTTACCCATCACTGCTCTGCACAGCTTGAGCATGAGAGCTACTGAGAGCAGCACAGTCAAAGAGAAAAATAAAATATCTGCTTCTTATTGATAGATTAAAGCAGAAACCTCCTCAAGGAGAAAAGCCCATTCCGACCAGCTGCTCTCCGTGTTCCTGTTGTGTATGATTCATTTCCTGTTGCTGCCTTGTTCCCCTGCTTGTTTGTTGCTAATTGTTTCAAATGTATTTTTCTTGAATTGTCTAGTATCATTTGAGCTCTACATGGAAAGAGTGATGAGTGATGCATATCTGTTGATGTATATATATACATATATATATATATGTATATATATATATATATATATACATATATATATATATATATATATATATATATATATATATATATATATACATATATATATATACATATATATATATATATATGTATATATATATATATATATATATATATATATATATATATATATATATATGTGTACATATATATATATGTGTATATATATATATATATATATATATCCGTGTGTGTGTATATATGTGTGTGTGTGTATATATATATATATGTATATATACAGTATATACATATATATACACACACACACACACACACACATATATACATATATACGTGTGTGTGTGTGTGTGTGTGTGTGTGTGTATATATATATATATACACACACACACACACACATATATGGTACCCTGCCTGATATATATATATATATATATATATATATATATATATATATATATATATATGTGTGTATATATATGTGTATATGTATATTTATGTATATGTGTATATATATATTTATATATATATACACATATATTTATATGTATATATATATATATCAGGCGGGGTACCATATATGTATGTGTGTATATATATTATGTATATATATATATATATATATATATATATATATATATATACACATACATACCGGTATATATGCATATATACACTCATATATATAGTCCAAACTGTGATTTCAGCTCTGATCATTAGAGTCACTCCCCCAATCCTCCTTTCTTATCCTGGTCCACCAGAGAGATAGTACGGGGTAACCACGCCCACATCAACTTACTCTTATTATTCATTATTGGGTCTCCAACCCCTCCCAAAGTCCCAAGTTCTCCCACGCTCTTACATTTTTGGACTCGTGGAAACTAAATTGAGGGGTTCCAGTTAAGTTACACATGCTAGTAATGAATCACACACAGGTGCGACGTGTGACTCAATAGAAGAAATCAGGAACTTTTGGCACTGTTTTGAGATCTTTTGGAAACATCTTTGAGAATGCCGTTTGGAATAATAGCCAGCAACCGCGGCCCATTGAGACAATGCAGAGGCTGTCAACAAACACAATACCTGCAAACTATATTCAGCTGTGCTTTGATGCTTCTTGGTGAAGTGCAGATCACACGCATGCCCCCCCCCCCCCCCATCAGAGCATGATGCATGGGAACACCCTTCAGACCATACGTGTGTTAAACCATGCAGACGTCTCGACAGCTGTTACTTTGATAAAAATCCTCATAGTTAACTTGGTTTGGTGCCAGAGACACGTAAATGAATTCTTTATATGTTTTTCAGTTTTTGCAGAAATTGATGAGTCCGACTCTGTAAACATGTAGCAGCTGTCATGACGGCGGCCATCTTTGAGGATGTTCCTTCATAAATGTCCCATTTGCTTTCAGGTCGGTCTCCTCCGGGTCTTGCCAAAACTCCTCTGTCAGCGTTGGGTTTGAAGCCGCACAACCCAGCAGAAATCCTGCTCAACCAAACAGGCTCAGGTTGGTTCTGATGACAAAAATATTATTTCAATCAGTTTTAAAGGGAAAGGCATCAGTTTGCATCAACAGACCAAAAACTAGACATTTCTTTACAAACTATTTAAAGCTAAAGAAAATGTGTAACCTCTGCAGTATTTTGTGTCTCCGTTGATGCTGTACAGATGATGAGAGCAGTGAGGGTGGGGAAGGTAAGAGAGAGGGTGAAGAGGCCGAGATCATTCTTCACATCCATTTGTACCCATTTGAACTCATTCCAGTCTTTAAAGGTGTGGAACACTAAACCCCCATTTTTAAAATCTTAACTCTGATTATATATTTAACATGAAAATAGTCTCCTACACCTATCTCCTGCAGTAGCTTCTGATAGAAAACAGACAGTGAAACTCTAGGATTAGAAAATCCTGACAGATCTACGTCACTCTGTCACTTAACATTCATGGATTCACCCATCTTGACTCACGACGGAGAAGGCTGTTGTTGGTATAGCGTCCAGGAAATGGCAGAGAACGTCTCGACTAGTAGAAGCTAATTGTTAGCATTAGCAACCCCACCACACAGCAGAACTCCTCCAGGCTTGTGTTATTTGTGGAGATTAAACATCAACGTTGCAGAGCAGTGGTAGAGTCATGTTGCTGTTAGCCATATCAGAGGAGAGATGTACAAATATCAGGAAATAAGACTCCAAAACCTGCCTTCTGCAGCTCAGCTGTGATGTGGCTCACTTCTAGTTCCTGTAAATGGTGCACCGGTGTTTTTCCTACTAGAGACGCTGCAAATGTATTGTTTAAATGAGTGTTCCCCACCTTTAATTAATCTCTGAAAAGCCACTTGCATACTGACTGTTGGTCACCGTCATGTCCCTCAGCCGTCTCTCTTATTGACAGATCAGCCAATCATTTAGTCAGCTCTGATTTATGAGTTATACAACAAAACATACATTTGTTAAACATATGGATATCCTTCACATGCAGCTCCGAGAAGCTATGTCGAGTCCGTGGCAAGGTCAGCGGCGGTAGGCGGAGAGCTGCCCACATCCCCTCGGAGTCTCAGTCCATCAGCGGTCACCAAGAACCAGCTGAGGAGTCCAAGCCCCCCCACCCAAATGTTAAACCCACCTCTGTCCAGCAGCAGTACCATCCAGAACTCACAGGGGTGAGTCAAACACAATATCGTAATCCAACTTTTCTCGAAACCGTTTGTTGTTGAATCATTGCTGATTAGAACAAACCTCCTCTTCTATTTTTAGGGATCATCTTTTTGCAGGAAGCAGCCTTTCATCCCAAACAGCTACTGACTCTGGGTTCCAGTCCCAGCCTTCAGAGAGCGCCTACCCGGTTCACACCCCATCAAGTCAAGACCCGAATCCCTCCGTTTCCTCCTACCTGGACTCCAGCTCTCCAGCTTCCTCACGCCTGTGTTCTACAACACCCACACTGTCCTATCTTGGTCCCAGCAGCCTACTGAGGAGCTACCCAGCCTCAGATCCCAGTCCATTGTACTCAGAGCCTTCCAAGACCTCTCTAGGACAGTTACAGTCCAGCATCCATAGCTCCAGCCCCAATCCTTTAGTCCAGCAGCACTTTGGTGCTAAACAAGATGGCTCTATCCAGTCTGTTCAGAAATCAACAGCTAATGGCTTTGAGGAGATCATGGCCGGTCTTGGTGGCAGTCCCATACTAGGTCGTCGTCTGTCTCAGGGAACTCGGACCAGTCCAGTCCACAGTAGACAAGCGTCTTTAGGACCGGGGTCTCAACGCAGTCCGGTCCTCAGCAGGCAGCCATCCCTGGGTCAGCCCATTCAGGGCAGTCCTGTTCTCAGTCGACAGCCATCCATCACACACACTCAAGGAAGTCCGGTGTTGGGTTGTCACCCTTCGGTAACCCAGATGTCCCAGAGGAGCCCCAGTTTGGACCGCCACCCCATGCATAGTGGTTACACCACGCCAGACGAACGACACGGAAACCTGTCGAGACAGAGCAGCTCTTCTGGCTACCAGGGGCCTCCCACTCCCTCCTTCCCCATCTCTCCTGCTTGCTACCAGGATGGTGGAATGATGGGGACAGGTGTCGGTTTCAGGCAAGGTAGCCCGGCACCCGGTTTCCAGCCCCAACTACCAGAGAAGAGGCGCATGTCCAGTGGCGACAGACCGAATGGAGGACTGTCATATGGGACGCTTAACGGGAAGATAATGTCCCCCATGAGTGGGGGAAGTACTCCGAGCTACTTCCACACGTTGTCTGACTTTTCACTGTTCAATTTGCCCGGTAAGTACATACGGCCTTCGTCTAGAAGGTTCTGTCGTCTTCATAGGGACAAAACATGGGTTCCGGATTTGGTTATGAAGCCAGGATCCCACAGAACTACAGCTGTTGGAAACACTTGATGCACATTTTCAGATGAAATCACACTGAACTGGTTTATCTGTGGCCAGTTTAATAATGTCTCAATGTTTCAAGTCTTTTGCAACTTGTTCCGATTCTGTCTGGTCACTTCCATACTCCGTAATCTCAGGGTGGCTTTGGTTTTGAGAGAAAATTTACTTAAACAAACTTCCAAATTCCTATGATACGGAAAGCCTCTGAGATTCATGCAAGGAAATTGCAAACCTTCAGGAACATTTTGGGAAAATCCCACACGAAAATTGTTATTGATCTGTCTTCAACAGTCTCTGGCCAGTGGGACAAATACGCTTAATGACATGTTTAATGGGAAAAACAACCCTAACACTAACTTTTCTCCCCGCAGATGGAAGCCCGGAAAGCAGACTGAATGTAAAATTTGTTCAGGACACTTCCAAGTTCTGGTACAAACCCGAGATCTCCAGGGAGCAGAGTGAGTGTCTCAAAGGCCATGCTTGTGGACAGTGATGAATCTTTGCTGTGCGTTCAGCGGGAGCCCTTATTTTTTAACCTTTGTTTGGCCTTTCTGCTGATAGATAGGAGAAACATGGAACCTGTTTTGTTTTAAATATCAAACACACTTCCATAGTGAAGCTTTTAACTTGGTTAGAAGCTGTTTTGATGTTTGGACTCTTTTCATAGGCGGGTTTAGTTGTTCTAAAGTTTAAGAATTAGCTGTTGGATGTGATTTATATAAAGCGCTGACCCCTCTCTAAAAAGATTTCTTCCAAAACATTTGTTATTTTACATTTAGGATAAAGACAGAGGTCATTTTTGGTCCATCTGGCATTCTTCCAGCGTGTTTTTGTGCACAAACTAGCAGAATCTGCCTGTGAAGTTTGTTCATCAGACTAAAACATTTCTAAAAATACACAACAGCATTACGAACTTGCTAGCAGACTTTAAGCCGTTGTCTGTCTCACGCATCTCTTCATGGTCGGTACTGGATTATATCATCCTAAGCACACGCACAGCTGCAGTGACATCAGATAGTTAATACTTGGTTCAATGCAACCCCAGAGTCAAACCCACAGCATATGTAGAGAATTACTGAATATCTGAATCGCTCATCTCATCCATCTTCTTTGCTTAAAGAGACTGAAGTAAAAATGGAAGTAAAGTCCGAATCTTTGAACGATGGAGTGTTTGAGACAAAGTGTCATGTTGGAAACTGAAATCCTAATGAAGCACAGATGCTCCGCAGGTTTTTATTTTCAGACGACATTAATACCCCTTTTCTTGCCTAATTTTCAACATCCATTATTTTCAGATTTTAATGTTTTGTTGGTGAAACTTCTCTTTTCTCCAAGGTACTGCTGAGGAGAGCGAGCTTCAGTTAAAACAACTAATGTAATATTATGATGTGGCCCTTTGGTCATCTCTGAAAGGAATTCCAGCTTGGAAGCACAAAAAAGGAATTAACCCAAGAAGTTTTTAATTGCAGCGAGAGCTTCATTAATGTGACCTAATCAACTCTAGTTTAATGCTTGGTGCTGTGCATTTGTTGAACTCGTAAAGTTTGCTATATGACTAGGAAAAGCTTCAAGAAAAATAATTTATTTGCCTTTTTCTAAACCTAATTTCAGCAAACACACAAATTCACTATTGTGCAGCTCAATTACAACTCTTCCTCTCGCTCTCTGCTGCTTTGAAGCATCTGATTTGCAAGTCAAACATCACTTGTTAGCATCTGATCACGCGGGACAAAGGGAAACAATACGTGCTTCTCAGTGAGCTGCAGGTCTTAAGGGATGAAGAACAAAGTCGCCTCCAAAACCTGAAATTAGGCTATCGCTGATCTAATCCTAGCTTTAATCTGCTAACAAGGTCATTATTAGTTTATTCATGTGATTTGATTTTATGCAACGTGACTTAAAAAAGAGGAAGATTAAAGTTCATACACCAGTAGATGTTTATTCATCTGACTTGGTTAAGCATGTTCAGGATTACATGTCTGTATAAACATGGTCACATTTATTTCTTCTAATTTATACTTTATTTAAAATGAAATAAAATAGGTCCTTAAATTACGCTCTGACTAACTGGGGTCACACTGCTGGTTATACTGGGCCAGAGGTCATTCAGGATATGTTGGATAATATGAGAACGTTTACACAGAAACAGGCTCCAGCATCAGCAGCAAAACTCTAATTCATCATGGGTCCACAAACCATAATAAGTGACTGTCCTGTGTTTCAGCCATTAACCTGCTGAAAGAGCGAGATCCAGGAGCCTTCGTTATCCGGGACAGTCACTCGTTCAGAGGCGCGTACGGTTTAGCCATGAAGGTGGCCTCTCCACCTCCAACCGTACATCCCAGCAAGAAAGGTGGGAGCCAGGAGGGGTAGGGTTTGGGATGGGGACCCTTTACTCACCTCACTTCTAGTCTTAGGTGAGACAAAATTAGACATGAGATCAAGTTTAGTCAGTTGTTTTCTGTTGCAGGTGACACCACCAACGAGCTGGTGAGGCACTTTCTGATCGAGAGCAGTCCTAAAGGAGTGAAGCTGAAGGGTTGTCCCAACGAGCCTTATTTTGGTAAATCTAATCTTGGACTATTTTCCAAATGGTCACAGAGTCGTTGAGGGTGTCTCCACCCCATCTGAAAGCATCTGTTTATTTTCAGAGTCAGAAAGTGAAGAAATGAGATGAAACTATGACCCCAAATAGTAGATCAAATGAGGATAAACAGCAAATAACGTGTGACTAAATGTTGAAAAATTGCAAAGAGAAATGAAACTGAAACTGTGGAATTTTTCATAAAAGCTTGTTAAACATCAACATTATTCCCCACATCATATTTGACTCCAGCTGAAACACTGAGGTGTTTTCCTCTGTGTGTTGCAGCCCAGTGAGATACTTGTTTAAACTGGTTTAACGTTTGTCTTTTAATCTGCTGTGTGTCAGGTTGTTTGTCAGCTCTGGTTTACCAACACGCCATCACACCTTTGGCTCTTCCCTGTAAACTAATCATCCCTACTGCAGGTATGGACTGGTGATGATCATGTTCTGCTTCCTGTCTGTGACCATAGCATTGCTTTGGCGTCATGGATCTAACTTTTATATTAGATCTGATGGAGGAAACACCAGAAGTCGTGGCACCAAACCCTCTGGCTGAACGGCTGAAACAAGGAGCAGGTAAAACTCTTATTTCACCATCTTCATTCAGCAAATGAAACGTATTTATTTCTGACCTGAAATCCGTCGTTCACTCGTTCTCACCCCAGCGCTGAGTGCTCCTGCGGACCCCCACGGTAAAGTCATTTCTACACACGGAATGTGCATCATACATGTTTGTTTTGTATGTCGTTACCTCCATACACGTTAAATCTTTTTAACTAAATCTCCTCTGTAACAAGTGGAACGTTCCATGTAGGTTCATTCTCCTCTAAACCCCCAGCTCTGTTCCAGGAAGCATGTCCACTAATCAGACGTATTCCTGCATGAAACCTGGATGGTTTTCCTCCACATGTTTCATTCATCTGGGATCCTTTCTCCCTTCCCAGCATGCAACGTTCTCTACGTCAACTCTGTAGAGATGGAGTCCCTGACGGGCCCCCAGGCCGTCGCCAAAGCCATAACTGAGACACTGGCCGCTGCTTCTCCCCCGAGCGCTACTGTCGTCCATTTTAAAGTGTCGTCGCAGGGCGTCACGCTCACAGACAACAAGAGGAAGTGAGTCTGAATCCTCTTAACATGTCTGAGTCTCTCTAGAAACTGGAATGGTGTTTGTTTCTTTTTTCTGTAGGATTTTCTTCCGGCGCCACTATCCGATGAACACAGTCACGTTCTGCGACACGGACCCTCAGGACAGGAAGTAAGGAAACCATTTCACTTTTTTGTGATTTTGTAAAATGTTTCACATACAGCTGCCACAAACAACTATTTCAGTAGTCGACTAATCATTTCGTTCATAAAAGTTTAGCTTATTGCACCAGGATGCCCCAACATACCATCATTAGCTTCTAGTGTGATCAGCTATGTGCCGTCTAATAAAGACGGCTTAGCAACAACTCAACTTTGTAATCTGTTAATACAATATATAAATAATATAAACACAGTAGAATTAAAAATGATCTTTTAACAGTGAGGTGCTAATTTAATTAATCACAATAGAGCTAGTTATAAATATCCATTAAAATGTAAATAAAACAGGAATTAAAAAAAGACATTTTGGCAGCACAGAGAACTTGTTAAACACATTCAGCATTTATTATAATAATTGTAGGCAGACAGGAGACAGAGCTGGATGGAGGTTCTCAGTCATCAAAGGCTTTCCAGGAACAGGAGATGTGGTGTTGTCTCTTCTCTCTCTATTCTGCCAGATGAGCTGATAGGTTACAGGTGTGTGAGGACATCCTCATGCTGTCATAACCAGATGACAGGAGTTATCAGGTGATCAGCCAGGCTAATGATGAGATGCAGAAAGAAAACAAATCCAGGACAGTGTACAATAATCTGTGGTGTTGCTCACCTTATGTGCTGTTATAGAGTTATTAACGTGTGCCTGCCTCATGGTGTAGAGTCCATATTTAGCTGAGTGTCCTGCAATAATGCAGGTTATTAGTTAATTTACTTTTGATAGCAAAGAACTAAATATTTAATGTAAAAGTTATTTACCAGGTGAATCAGCTCACACATCACCAATTGTCACAGGGGCAGAATCAGTAGTCTCCTTCATGATGTCATGATGTAATCTAGCTCTAAGCTCACAGCAGCAACGCACGTGTAGCAATAAGCTATGAAACAAAAGCATAGATTATGTTAAAACTCAAAGGCTGTAATGAAGATTACATGACGATTAAAAACAACTCACCTTTACTACACCTGCAAGCAGGGGTGGTTCTAGACCAAATTTTCCAGGGGGGCCACAGTGGGGCCAGTATTTTTTCATGGGGGCACAAGAAAAAAAAATCATAATAAAAGACAATGAACAAGAAAACTATTATGGCGAATGCAGTAATGGTTTACTTGTGAAAGTAAAACTGGCATGTTTTTATGGTACTCAGATAACAATTCTGAATGCTTCACCGCAACATGAGACTTGAGTAAACAAACAATTCTAGTCAATTATTATAGTTTGTGACTTTATTTGAAGATTATATGAACTGTACATATGAAAAATAAACATTCAAACAAATAAAATGTCTGCACAATACAATTTGCTTTTTGTAGTCAACACACACAGACACACACACACACGTAAGCAAAATCACTTCACCAATTGTTTTGATATACTCATGATTTTCTTTAACCTTTTTACTGTGTTCCTTGTCGAGTATATTAGCCAATGTTGTATTAGCTTTCACAGCCCTCTGGTAGTCTCTCCACGCTATCATTGAATCCTTATGCCTTTCAGACTTTGCATGTACTGACAACCCCCCTCCTCTCTCAGTTGCTTTTTTCCAGTTCCTAAATCCACATTGAGAGTCAAACACACTTCCTGCGCTACTTGGTGGGCTAAAATGTCTGCATGCATGACAATAAGTAGAGTCCATTGAAACAGAATAGTCAACCCAAGGATGACTTTCATACCAGCTTGGCTGAAAGCTGCGTCTTCTGTCTCCTATTAATGTCACTGGAAATGTCCTCAAATGAGGCTGAGTAGGTGGGTCATCCTTGCACTTGCTGATATCTGAAAGAAAATAAATGTTAGCAAGAGGATAAAAGTCATAATTAGTTAATTCAGAGTCTTATTTTATATATTTATTAAATATAAACAACAGAAATTTTGGTCCAGAGTCAGCATGCCTCAAATGCATTTTACACACAATATGAGCTGCAATCACAGAGGGGTTGTTCAACACCCACAAACCTGACCGTAGTGTACACGGTGCACATGACAGAAGATGTCCCTCTTTTTGCTCCTCACTCTCTCCCTCACAGCCTACATCTTCCTCCTCCTCACTCTCAGGGTGGACAGCCTCTGACCTCTCTGGTTCCTCTCCAACCAACTCTTTCATCTCTTTCTCTTTCATCCTGCTTCTCAGCTCCCTCGTGACTTTCATCCTCTCTCTGTCTATGCTGTTCTTTATTAACAGCGGTAAAAAAAGGACAAAATGTCCCTTTTTCTTTTCATGGCCGCTGATGCTTCCAGTCAGTGCTGCGAGAAAGTCATAGATAAATGAATACTGTGATCTAATCTCAACGTGTCTAAGGCTTAAAATGCAGCAACTTCATTTTTATTTTACAGTTAATGTTACAAAGGAAAAACAAATCAGTGTTAACTGTGGATAGACTCAGTTAGGAACTTAAAAGTAAATGACAGAAATGCGCGACTACTTGATGTCAGGAAAATAAACTATTGCTTACCTTCGTCTCTTAGCGTCTTTTCCGTTTGGCGTCCTCAAGAACTTCTTCGGGTCCCATTTAAACTATTTTTAATCCTTTATTCAAAAATCCACCGCGTAAACAGTTCTGTCCACAGAGTGTGCTGCGCTTTAAAGGCTCCGTGTGAAACGCTGCAGCGCATTAGTTCCCGTCTCCAAGGCAGCGCGGGAAAAAAAATCCAATCTCTTCAGCACAGGGGCCATAACAGGGGCCAGGGCCAGTTCTACAGGGGCCCAGGCCCCTGTGAGCCCCCGTTTAAAACCACCATTGCCTGCAAGGCTTCATGTTAGTCTGGACCATTTGTAGCTGCAACAATCAGTCTGACAGCAGATTACTTGGGTTCATTTAGTCTGAAAAAAAATTATATATAACATCACAGTGCTGTGGGAGGTCGCTTCCAGAGATGAGAAACATGTGGAGAGCGGAGTGAGGATGGAGCTACAGGTCTTTCTGTTGGAAGACCAGGAGGCCCTGAGGTAAAACGGGATGTTAGTGTAAGTCTGTGAAGATGCTCCTCTCCAGTGGTGAGATGTAAGGGAAAAAAACAGAAAGAGTACAATATTATTATTTATAATACTGTTTACCTGTATCAGTTCATAGAGCTTGTACTGTCATTCAGATGGAAGCTGCTCAGAAGCTCTCCACCACACCTGGGTCTGTTCAGGAGTGTAGAAGCTGGTCTGGGTGGATCATGGTCCCAGTGTCAGACACAGCTGCTAGGGGGCCATGTGAAATATAAAGAAACAGCAAATACATTTATAGTTGTTTTTAAGAGCAGCAACACACGTGTAACAATAAGCTAAAATAATTACATGTTAAAACTAGAAGGTAAAGAGAGACAGATGGTTAAAAATTACTCACCTGCAACGCTCTGGCCTGGACCGGTGCAGGCTGGTGGAGGACTACATCCGTCTGACAGCAGATTTATTTGGCAGATTTAGCCTGAAAAAATTAAATCACATTGTTGTGGGAATTTATTAACTTACATCATGTACAAAACATACTGTCTAATATGTGCTTTATAACATGGCTGGTGAGTGATCTGACTGCTCTTAGAGCTAACTCAGTGTCCAGAATCAGTCATGTTCTAATGAGAAACGGACTCAGCACCAGTTTTATTTCTCTTTTCATGTCAAACAAATAAAACAATACATATAATAATTTCCAACTTAGATAACTTATCACAACCATAAATGCGCGAAAAGGAATAGGAAGAAGCATAGCTTATTTTACCTATCCCTAAATCAATTTACTCATACTTAAAAAAAATGTAAGTATCAGAACACAACAACTCAAAAGTATTAACACCAATTACAACAATGTTAATATATATTATCACTACAGTACTTATGCAAATTAGCAATCATCTTGTCTATATCTGGAAAAAATTAATTCTTTATATAATTTCTTAAATTGCACTATATTTAAACTTTCTGTGATTCTTTCCTCAAGACTATTCCATAAAATAATTCCACAAATTGAAACACGTACTTTTCAATTTTGTTCGAGCATAATGTTGCTTCAGTTTAATTCCCCTCTCAACTTATATACACCTTGTCTTTCTGCAAACAGTTTTTGAATATTTTCAGGCAGTATTTTTTATTTACTTTGTATATAAATAATGCAGTCCTAATTTCAATCAAATCTTTAAACTTCAAGGTTTGTAATTTTATAAACAAGCTATTTGTGTGTTCATTATATCCCACATGACTGACCAACCTTGTGGCTCGTTTTTGTAACCTACAAATTGAATATAGGGTGGTTTTATAGACGCTTCCCCACACTTCAACACACAAAATGACTTACTTTTCCCAACACCCCAATACTCCGTGCCATTTCCTTTAACATATTTTATGTGATGTTTCCAACATAATTTGTGATCAAGGATTACACCCAGAAATGTATTTTCATACACTATTTCTATAATAAAATCATTTAGAGTTATTGCCATATGTGTGTTTATTTTACGTTTTCCAAACATAACTTTAGTTTTGTTTAAGTTTAATGATAATCTATTCAAATCAAACCATAGTTTCAGTTTAGCCATTTCTGTTGTTACCAACCTATAAAGATCTTGCAAATTCTCTACCAAAGCAAAAAAGTTTATCATCTCCAAATAAAACACATTTTAATGCTCTGAAAACCTCACACAAATCATTAATCTATAAAATAAATAGCTTTGGACCCAAAGCTGACCCCTGTGGCACCCCACAATTAATACTAAGCAGTTCTGACTTAATTATTTGTACAAATAGATTTCTATCGGTTAAATACCTTAGAAACCAACTGAGAACAACTCCCCTAATACCATACTTTTGAAGTTTATTAATACTGTGTGATCAATTGTATCAAAGGCTTTTTTTTAATCTAGAAATACTCCAACTGCATATTCCCTCTCATCTATAGAACAAGTGATTTCTTCAACAATTTCCATTAATACCATTGATGTAGATCTATTTGTTCTGAACCCACACAGACTATTTGATAACAGATTATGATTGAACAAATTTATCCAGTCTATTGACAAATAACTTTTCTAAATTTTTCTAAATTTGCGATAATGAAACTGGTCTATAATTAGTGAACTGCTTATTGTCTCCCTCTTTGTGTAATGGAATAACCTTAGCCGTTTCCATTTTACATGGAAATAAACCAGTTCAGAACCGGGTCAGGTTTGCTGCAGGAGGAGCTACTCTTCAGTGTCCCTCCTGCTCTGCGTCAGCGCTGATATTACTAACTGGCACAAAAACTTAACCCGAACCCATCTGTGACATCATAACACACACAACACTGCTTCGAGCCTGGGGCAGTGTGGACCGATTAGCTAAATTACGTGAACCACGTCTCTCTTACTTTGTAATTATAAATATAGCAATTATAGCTGCAAAATTACAGGTAGGTAACAATCTTTAGAAGCTGTTAAATGTAATTATTTAGCTTACTCACCTCAAATTGGGCCCAAAATCTCCGTTTTGAGGAAGCAGCAGTCGGCTGGATCTAGCTAATTACTGGAAAGGCTTGGACTAATTTGTGAAATGGTCTTCAAACCAGCATAATCAGGTGTTACACCAAATTCTGCGACCCGTCACAATTTGTGACCCCAGGGGGCAGTGTTGCATTTTGTTGCGTCTGTACGTCCTGAATTGGCATAAAAGAAGATGATGCTACTTTAAAACCGTAAACCACGTAAGCTTGAGGAAGTTGTGCGGCGCGGACCATGGATATTAAAGAGCGTTTGTTAATGTTTATTGCAAACAAACAGGACAATAAATGCAGCAATAACCAGGGCTTTGACAAGAAATGTTTGCTAACGTTAAACATTGATTTTACAACATGCGAGGCCCGCAGGTAAAATGTTCAGAACTTCCATTTATTGATACAAATTGTTATGATCCACATCCTCACTTTATTAGAAACCAGTGCAGAGTATCTGGTTGCTACATTTTTTTCCTGTCACTCCAATGTCATTCATATGTACTAGTGGAGATAAAAGGGAAATAAAATGACACAAACGTCACGAAACGCCTTTTGTTGTGAAAATTAAAGATATCTGCATTATTACTGAGATGCAGATGGCTACATTCTGTGATAGCCACTATCATATTGTATGACCTTACTGTAACTTCAGTTATAATTATTTTTACATCACACAAACTGTTTCTGATAACTTCTCTGATGATGTAGTTTATAAAAAAAGTGCAATTGACCTCTGACATCTGCATTATTACTGAGATGCAGATGGTCACTTTCTGTGATAGCCACTATCATATTGTGTGACCACGGTCCGCGCCGCACAACTTCCTCAAAGCTTACGTAGTTTACGGTTTTAACATAGCATCTTCTTCTTTTATGCCAATCTTATGTACAGACGCAACAAAATACAACACTGCCCCCTGGGGTCACAAATTGTGATGGGTCGCAGAATTTGGCAAGTGGTGCTCGCTGCAGAACCACAAAGGCGGAGCTGCACCAGAAGGTGGAGCTGCACCAGAGTCAGCCCTGCCCATTCCATCAGAGTCAGTCCAATTCCTTCCAGTTGTCAGACTTAATAGCATTCTGGAACCAAAGAGGGTGTTATAGCTAAAAAATGCAATATTGAGGACGGAGTTGAGAAGTTAATTGAACAGTTTTTGTAAAGGTTCCATATAATTAAAAATCTAACTTTTAG